TGCCCATGGCAGAGGGGTTGGAACTAGATGATCTTTGAGGTCCCTTCCAACCCTAACTATTCTATGATTCTATGAAACATAGAAAAATGCAGTAGCTGGGTGATGAGGTATCCATGGTTCTTTGGTTTAAAACAAGAAACATAGAAAGATCCACTAATTTCCTAGTGAGTTCTCTATAGTTACTTATTAAACTTAACAATCCTAACTTGTACATTTTACTTTTCAGTTTTCTATCTAACTTTTCTGCTTGATTAAATCTTGATTATTTTGTCAAAGTTTTGTATCAGTAGAAGAGGGAAAATTATTTTCATTTTTAGCAGCTTTGTGTCCTCAGGATTAGAATCATAGAATCGTAGAATCATAGAATCATAGGATGATTTGGGTTGGAAGGGACCTCAAAGATCATCTAGTTCCAACCCCCCTGCCATGGGCAGGGACACCCTCCACTACACCAGGTTGCCCAAAGCCTCATCCAACCTGGCCTTGAACACTTCCAGGGATGGGGCATCCACAAGTTCTCCGGGCAACCTGTTCCACTGCCTCATCACCCTCAATGTAAAAAATTTCTTCCTTATATCTAATTGAAATCTCCCCTCTTTCAATTTGAATCCATTGCCCCTAATGGATTAGGGATAATTACTTTTATTAAGTTTTTGTCTTACTTCATGAATGATTTTACTGACCACTTGTTTTGTTTTTTTGTTTTATTCCGATGTCTATTTTTCTGAAGTAATCTAAAAACTTAATTATTTCTTGCCTTTGAAGTTAGTAATTCTAGAATGAGATCCAAATCTTTGTGATAGAAGAAATTTTATTTATCTTTTATTTCTGATTAGGGTGCTGGAAGGTGAAAAACGGCTTGGGAGCATTCTTATGACCAGCAATATACACATGAGGAATTCCTTTAATCAGTGAAACTAAACTGATACAAAAAGAGAGTAGAGAGGATCAGGCCAAGAGCTAGATGTGCATCACCCGTTCACAGGGTCCAGTGTTATTGTTACTCTGCGTAAAAAGTAGACAGTCCTGCGTTTCAGCTGTCTGCCTCAGAAGAATTAAATGCCTGGTCCGAGTTGGTTCATACTAGTTGCTGTCTCTTCTCATTGACTTCATAGGGATCGTAAGTACCTTACAGTGAGCCCGGTAGTTCCCATGTGCTGAGTAGGATGTGGAGCGGATGCTGTGATGTGATACAGTAGGCACAATTGTATGTCTGTACACTTGCACCACACTGGAACAGAGGCATGTGAGTCAAGGCCACACTTTAAGTTCTCTCTAAATTCAGACACAAAGCCTTCTGCTGATGGTAGGCATCTGACCAAGCATGACTCACTCTGTGAAAAGACTACCACTGGAGAGAACAGTTATAATGATCACTTGCATAATAGTCTCATGGCAAGAGCATTTAGCTGTCCCGACAGAAGACTGAGGTTTCAGGTTTTTCTCAGCCTGGGGGTATTCAAAACCAAAACTCCCACATCCTAGAGGCATTCATCAGTCACGAGGATGAATATAAAGATTTGGCTGGTGTGGATTCATTCTCAGTTTTCTTTGAACTGTTTGGCTCTGCAGAAGGAACAGAAGACTTTAGGAGCAGACAGGTCACCCAGTGGGGTGGTGCGTCTGGATTCTTGTCCCTGCTTCAGAGACTGCTGATGCTTTTAGCATGAGGGAGCCATTAAGTGAAACACGTAACTGTTACTGTAATCATTCTGCAATTAATCTTAAGTGAAGTCTTCCCATGTTGTCCTTTTCGTGTTTTAAACATACAGTTTACGTTACTGTGTGTGTGGTGTTATTTGAGCGTGCCTTTAGAGGTTTGGTGCCCACGCTGGACACCTTTCTACTTGTCTCTGAATTGCAGTGGGGCTCAGGCAGAAGCTAGCTGTCCAGCTCCCAAGCCAGGCATGTTTCTGAAGTCCCTGTACCAGCCCAGAACAGATGAACTATTTTTTCTTCAGTGTTTCCAGTGCAGGTAGCACTGTACATAGGTACTGTAAGTCGTTCATCAGCACCAAAATCTAATTAGCAGTTAGAGCTTATTTTGATACTGTTCCCATCTATTACTATCCTTATCTCCAGTGTTTTTTTGTGTACTTATTGTTAATATAAGCAGTGCAAGATCAGATCAGAAGTTTAGGAGGCTTGATGCTGTCAGATACTTAATGTTCTCTAGAGCCAAGAAGCTTGTCCCATCACCTAAAATTAGTTACATTCTCTGTGTGAACTCCTAATCATTAGAAACTTGCTAAACTAGGAAAGTTTGTGCATTCAAAGTGTGTTATCCATCTGAAGCTGCATTATTATATTTATGCTGCTTCTTATTCTCTCATTCCAGATGGTTTTGCATATGGAATGGAAACAGTAGTTGAAAATGTTACAAGATTAAACTGCTTATCAGAGATTTTGTCAGTAAAAAACAAAAGACAGAACTGGTAGTAGTTTTTTCCGTTTTGTTTTATGTAGAATTAAGGTAACACACCAACTAATGTACTGAAGTTGTTACTTTTTCCTGTAAATCTTCAAGGTAGAAGGAGTAGCATACCTAAGTTCTTTTCTGTGGAAATCACAAGATTTGGGACTTTGGAGCAGACCTCGAGGAGAGAACCTGCTCGATAGTGGTGCACCTTTTTATGAAACCTACAAGACCTCTGATGGAAAATTCATGGCTGTTGGTGCCATTGAGCCTAAATTCTATGAGCAGTTAATAAAGGGTAAGTAGCTTGGATCAGTTGTTTCACATCAGCAAAGCATGACTGAATGAATTTTTTAATACCTGATTTTGATTCATGACATTGGTTATGTTGATTTCTTTGTAAAAGCCAAACAATTCTTGAAGCTATTTGGGTAGTAGCGTAGCAGTTGATTGACTTTCTTCTTCTAGCAGTTGCTTACTTTCTTTTTCATCCCTTCTTCACCTTACCCTCAGAAACTACACTTAAATTACAGGTTTTCTTCTGAAGCTATGGTAATGGTAGTCTGTGATGTGGCTGGAGCGCTGAACAACTATTTTTGGAAAACATTTTCCCAAGGAATTGTGAATATACTTCAAAAAGGAGACCTAATTCTTTGGTATTGCAAATAAAATTTCAAGCAATTTCAGTTATTTAGGCTATAATTTTTTCAAAAATATGTAGGACGAATAATTGAGAAAACGATTTAAATTGTTCAGAAATGAATGTTCATTGGAAATAGTTCATAATATTTCATGATAGAATGGAATTCCCCTAGAAGCAAAGTCAGATTTATAAATTAGTTTCCACCGCACAATTTCAGGGTGCTTTTAGTGTGCAGCTATGGATGTAATTTTTAAATTCGAGTGAAAAGTCTCTAAATACTAATATAAAATATTATTTATCTGTTTGATAAATTAGAGTGGGTCAAACAAAATATGTATGTGAAGTTAAAACAGAAATTTGCAGATGCCTGTTTACTTTTGAACTGTTCGTGTCCTTCAAGCTTTTGATCAGATGTGCTCTTAGCTTCCTACTGGTAATTTAGTTTAAAAATAATTTCTTCTGTTGTGTTCCTTTGGTAGATTGCTATGCTTTCCGTACAGAATTTATGAGAAATTTAAATGGTCACAAAAGTATTCAGTATTTATTCTCTTTCCATTGTTCTGCATATAAGGGATATAAAAAGTTTTCAATCTAATTTCGTTTTATTTGATCAGTAGAAGGAATATCAACAAAAGATATACCTGAAATGGATGTGAACCACTTTTGTATGTGTATGACTTACATGTGGTAAATCTTTGCTGAGTGAGGGTGGCAGTGGAGTAGCTTCTTATTCTTGCTCAGTCTCTCCCCAGTGGTTATTTCTTGAATTGTAGCATGGATACCTGTACTGGTTTTGGCTGGAATAGAGTTAATTTTCTCCATAGCAGCTGGTATGGGGCTGTGTTTTGGATTTCTGCTGCAAACAGTGTTGCTAATACAAGGATGCTTTCCTTATTGCTGAGCAGTGCTTACACAGAGCCAAGGCCTTTTCCACTCCTGACACTGCCCTGCCAGCGAGCAGGCTGGGGATGCACAAGAAGCTGGGAGAGGACATGGCTGGGACAGCTGACCCCAACTGACCAAAGGGATCTTCCGTACCATATGACATCATGTTCAGCAATAAACTGGGGGGAAGGTTGGCGTGGGGCCAGTGCTTGAGGGCTGGGTGGACATCGGTCAGTTGGCAGTGAGCAATTGTTTTCATTTGCATCACTTGTCCTTCTTGGGTTTTATTTTCCCCTCCCTTTGTTACTATTTTTTCCTCCTCTTTTCCTTAAGGGACAATTCCTCTCAGAGACAGTTACTGCCACCTCAGCCCCAATCAGCTACGTTGTGCTAAAAAGAGTGTAGTCAGTGCCAGGGCCTGCACTTCCAAGGGTTTTTGAAATTCAGAAGTATGGTAAGATGAAATGAAGGTATGGGGTTGTAAGGTGCAGTATACCTTTGGTGAGTAGCATCCCAAAGAGTGATCTTGTTCTCTACACTTGGTCTTTGTTCTCTTGCAACTTGTGGTGCTCCCAAAGAAAGTTCTTCTGCATCTGTGTCTGTAAATGTCTGCTTCTCTGTGTAGCTTAGAAAAGGCTGTTCAGTTGCCTAGAATGTTCAAATTGGTACATGCTGATACAGGGAACCCATAAGGCAGGCTCCTGGAGTGACTCAGGGACATATCCAGGGTTATGTGCTGCTCCCAGAGGCAGTGTCAAGTTTGGAAGAGTCATGTTCTTCGCTGAAGAAGCTGGTACTTTGTCCCTCATTGTCCTGTGTATAACTTGTTTGTGAATGCCAATTTTAAGCTACTCGATCTTGAAAAAGAAAGTGTAGTTGATTATTCTGCACTTTGCAGTTCTTTGAAATGTTATTCTCATCCAATGTCTTGAGATTTTTTTGCTTGCAAGAAACGGAGAACAAAAATAAATATAAAGCTCTATCAAAGTAAAACGTAAGCCCTTGCTCTGGAAGTTAGGGAATTTGGAATTCCAATACATGTCTTCAGGGAGAATGCCTGTAATAAGTACAAAGGAAAAGAAGAAAAGAATAAAGCTGCTTACTCAAATACCCATATGTTTGGCTTAATGTGATCAAACACTGCCCTGCAGTATTCATGGATGCAGTATTTTATCCTTCTCTAGAGATTAGATTGAACAGCATGGACTTTTAAGCTACAGGAGTGGGATGGAATCTATATTCATTCGAAAAAAAAAAATTCTGAAAATATAGTGTAGTCTTGTTTGTCACTCTCCTTCTCAGTGAACCTTTGCTGGACACTCCAGCCTTTTTCTGTTGATCTTTGGTACATGACTCAGGCTTTTCTCTCTCAACCAGCCAGACAACTTATCTAGAAAGAAGCCTCTCCTTCTCAGTGAACCTTTGCTGGACATTCCAGCCTTCTTCTATTGATCTTTGGTACATGACTCAGGCTTTTCTCTCTCAACCAGCCAGACAACTTATCTAGAAAGAAGCCTGTGATGGATGAATCTCGTGGTCAAGCAATATTACATGATCACTGGTCAGTGTCCGTCTTATTTAGGTAACTCTTACTGAGGAAAATGCTAAAATTCTCTGTTTTCCTCTTAGCTGTTTCTCAGAAATTCAGAGCTTAAAGTTGGAGCAGCAACTATGAATTCATCTGCCTGTATTGGGACATCCACATCGAAGAGCTTTATCTTCATCTTTGAAAGTATTCCTTATTGTTTACAATGCACATAAAAGGCTTGATTTTAACAGCTGAAGTTTCAAAAATAGTTATTCCAGCAATAAAAAACTGATATATGTGTTGGTAAGTAGACAACAAGTGCAATCACAGCTCTGCCTGTGTTTCAATCTGTTTCTGTCATATTTAAAAAATCTAACATACAGGCTACAGTCTTCTAAGAAAATTTTTCTTTTTGCCTTTAATTGGATCACAGTCTTTCCTTGTTTGGTCAGTCATAGATTTCATAGATTTCATAGATTTCTAGGTTGGAAAAGACCTCAGAGATCATCCAGTCCAACCGTCCCTAATCCCCATTAAACCATATCCCTAAGTAGATCATCCACCCTATTCTTAAACACATCCAGGGATGGGGACTCAACAATCTCCCTGGGCAGCCTATTCCAGTGGCTGACAACCCTTTCAGAGAAGAAATTCTTTCTAACATCCAACCTGAATCTCCCCTGACTAAGCTTATACCCATTTCCTCTTGTTCTATCACCCATCACTAACATAAAGAGCCCTTCCCCCACCTCCCCACCATCCCTTCTCAAGTATTTGTAGGTGTAATCAGGTCTCCCCTCAGCCTCCTCTTCTCCAGGTTAAACAGCCCCAACTCCCTCAGCCACTCCCCATAAGTTTTATTTTCCAGCCCCTTGACCAGTTTAGTCGCCCTTCTCTGGACCCGCTCCAGGAGCTCAATATCTGTCTTAAAGCGAGGGGCCCAAAACTGGACACAATATTCCAGGTGCGGCCTCACCAGTGCCGAGTACAGGGGCAGGATCACTTCCCTGTTCCTGCTGGTTACACTATTCTTGATACACGCCAGTATCCCATTGGCCTTTTTGGCCACCTGGGCACACTGCTAGTCATAGAATCATAGAATGGTTTGGGTTCAAAGGGACCTAAAAGATCATCTAGTTTTCTTTGTTTATGTTGTAAAAGTGTGTTCTTTAATGTATCAGACTAAACTTAAGATTTTTTCCACAAATTGCATTTAAAATAAGTGGTCTTTCTTCATTGTATTTTAAGTGCATATTATGAATTGTTCAGATTTTCATATAGGAAATATTTATCACCTTCAGTAGTTATGGTTGCAAGCTTTCTGAAGCAATAGTGTGCTAAATTAGAACAGCAGATCCTTCTCAGGGATTTTTTCCTTTTCCTTTCTGGGATATCTATTGCAGAAATTCAATTCAGAATTTAAGCCTTTGAATGTTACAGAGAAGAAAAAGCTGCTTGTGAGAATTGTATTGCTCTTTCACGAACCTGACGAGCTTTGACTTAAGCTGAGTTGTCTGTTCAAGGCATTAATTCTCTACTTTGAAGTAGTTTTAAAATGGTATGTTTCAGTTACAACTTCTATAATTTCGTTTCATAATTTTTTTCCGATAATTCTGGTCAGTTCTGCTAGTGAACAATTTGGTGTTGTTCCAGACAAAATATATTCAAAAGCCACTTTATGTCTCTTTGTCCAGATTCAGAGAGTATGTTACTTTTGCCACTCCTATATAATGAGAAGAGAAGGACATGGGTGTTGCAGATGTAAGAGTTGGAGATTTAAAGATTGCAGAATTGAGAAAGGAACATGAGAAAGGAACAATTGTGCCTGACAAATTTGGTGGCCTTCTATGGTGAGGTTACAGTGTTGTTGGATAAGGGAAAAGCGACTGACATCATCTACCTGGACTTGTGCAAAGCATTTGATATTGTCCTGCACGACATCCTTGTCTCTAAATTGGAGAGACATGGATTTGACAGATGGACCACTTGGTGGATAAGGAATTGGCTGGATAGTCACACTCAAAGAGTTGTGGTCAAGGGCTCAATGTCCAAGTGGAGGCCAGTGGCGAGTGGTGTTCCTCAGGGATCAGTACTGGGGCCAGTGCTGTTTAACATCTTTGTTGGCGACATGGACAGTGGGATCGAGTGCACCCTCAGCAAGTTTGCTGATGACACCAAGCTGTGTGGTGTGGTGGAAATGCTGGAGGGAAGGGATGTCATCCAGAGGGACCTTGACAGGCTG